CTATCACAGACTGATTTCCCCTCTGTAAGGAGCTGCATCACCTCACTGATGTGCTAGCATGTTCCCTCCCTGCTTGTTTGGACATTTGGTGGTTTTAGAAATCCGATCAGGGGCCTAAATTCAGAGATACATGGATTTTCCTACTCAGATTTGCCACTGAACTGCTGTATGGGTTTCAGTGAGTTATATGTGTCTTGGTGCTTTGGATTGACTTTGAGTGGAAGATGATCATGCAAAGCTTTGCTTAAAGATCTCTGAGAATTTTAAGGACACAGTGGAAGGCTGCAGTTCTTCCCAGACTGTGATATATGGACTGCACTTTGGCAGCTGGTGGCCCTCCAAAACTTTGCGGGTTGATGGTTTCTTTCACTGCTTCCCTTGCAGAAAAGATCCCAGGAGTCTGTAAGATCAATTAGAAACACAGAAAAGAAACCAGTCCTCTTCATGTGCTGCAGATGCTGGCAGCGTTGAGTTTAGCTCACCTGTGCTTTTCACCTTGTGCTGGACTCTCTCTAGGAGTTCCCTGTCTTTCTTGAGCTGAGGAGCCCAGAAATTAACACAGTATTCCAGATGTGGCCTCACCAGGTCAGAGTAGAGGGAGAGGATCACCTTCTCCTACCTGCTGGCCAAATTCTTTTTTAGTGCACCCCAGGTACCATAGCTCACAAGGGCACACTGCTAGCTCATGGCCAACCTGTTGTCCACCAACCAGGACCTCTACAGGTCCTTCTCTGCAGAGCCAAAACCTTTGATGTGCCAAAATCTTGGGAAAATCGTTTTGTCAGTAGTATCACCAATTATGTGAATATCATCACTGTTCCTGCTATCTGAAATGTGAACTGAGTCCAGTTGCCGGAGATGGCAGGATTCTGGTCAACTTGCTGTAATGGATTAGGAGGGCATGTTGTTGATAAATCTGGTTTTCAGAAGTTGCTGTCAGCAAATATCTGTATAACATTTTGAAAGATTCATATTTGTAGGAAACTTCCTACTCAGCTGCCATTAGTTTCAGATATTGGTACTGCATGCAGAACTGGAGCTCTTCTGCACTCTGTTTCCCAACAGGACATCACGAAACAAAGCCCATCAAGGGGTATAGGGGGATTCAAGGTGCCTGCCAACATGGTTGGCCACAGATCAGCCTGATGGATCTGACTCCTTTCCTTGCCAGCCAGATGAGTCAAGAAGGTTGGAAGCTGCACGCTTTCTTGCCTGAACTAATATGTGGATTTCTGGTAGTGTTTGTGGACTGATTCGTGGGCATAGCACCAATCACATCCCAAAGCTTTGCTCTGCTCTTGTTTAGAAGATTTTCCTTGAGCTACAGTAGTTTTGTGCTGTTATCACAACATCTTGGTTCTGTTCTTACTAAAGCTACTGATTTTTCCATGTCATTCCAAGTTAAGCTTTGAAATTGCACTGTAGCTACACCTGATGTTTGGACGTACTTCCAAAGAAGCATGAGGTTTTTGTGAGCTAGGTCAAGTGCTCAGCCGTGCCTGGACACAACAAGTTAAACACTCTGGCTTTTGCTCAGTCTCTCTACTGCAGTATTCATAGCATTTCATACCTCCCACCACACCATACCAAATAGTGAGTTTCGTTTGTAAACAAGCCAGTTTCTTCTCTCATCACTCTAAAATGTCCCTGACACACAACTGAGGCCGTCAGCAGTTGCAGGAACTTTGTATTCCTTTGCACAGACCACCAATGAATAGTGCTACCAATGAATAGTGTGTGGCAAATGGCTTTCCTTTTTTTCCAGGAGTCCCATTAAGGTCCTGGTGGCCACCTCTGTCAGACCATTCTGGCTCTATTGGCAATCCAGCTCCAGTGTCCCTCCTGTAGGAGACAGAGGGTTTGATTTTTGAGTGGTCCTGTGTGGAGCCAAGAATTGGGTTTGGTGGTCCTTGTGGGTCCCTTACAAGTTGGGACAGTTTATGATTCTGTCTGTGTTGCCTTCTTTGGCACTTCAATTGTCCCATTGGGATGAAGACCCAGGAGAGGCTCAAGAAGGCTCAGTAAGGGCATTCATTTCAGTTTTAGCCATGAAGCACTGTGAAGGCCTTACTGAGAATGCACTGCATTGCAAAAGTGAAATATTTCAAAGACTTCCTGCTGATTTTTTTGGGGAGGGGTCATTAGGATGTGAAGGGACTTCTGCCAGATTTTGTTTTGACTCCAAATCATGGGAGTTTGCCAAAGAAAATGTCACTTCACTGGTTATATTTTACAATTGCAAAACAATTACTCCCCACAGCAACCTTGTTGTGATAAATAGTTGTTTGTTTGTGGAAAATCTCAGTGAAAAGAAAAAAATTCTTCCTGAGACACAAAACCAGAGAGAAATGTCGCTGTACACAATTAATGTTAACTACGGCAGAAAGCAGGCGCTAAGACTGCCATAAGGAGAAATCCCCAACAGTGCTGTGCTGCCACCAAGCCCATCTAACTGAAAACAAACCAAGTCACCAAACCTTAGCCCAGCAAGAGCTGCTTCCTTGGTAAGGATCCATCACTTCCCAGTACACCATCGTTTGCCTGCCTCACTGAGTGTGAGATCCGGTGCCATCTGGGAAATCCCCACTGGTGTGACTTGGCCATGTTCCCTAGACAGCTAAGGCAACCAAAGCCAAGGAGTCCTCTCAGCACAGAGCCACGTACACTGGAACACACTGTCCCACTCGCTGTGTTTGTTTTACGGGATTAGGAACATGCCTAAACCCAAGTGCATGTTGGAAGCGGCGTTTCACACGCAATGCAGTCTGGTTTGGAGGGAACTAGCAATGTTTCTATGATTAAATGAAAATAATTGGGGTTAAATGGGAAGGAAAATGAAATTTCCTTGCAATTACTTAGATTTATTGTAAGAATGAGTGACATATCTTGTCAGTTTTATCTACTCTCCAGAGTTTTCTTTGTATGTTTTTTTTCTCCCCTTTTAGAAATTAGTTTGGGCTTCTTTGCCTCATTAATGAGAGATTACCTAGCTTGGCAAGAAGACTTGTGTATAGGAAAAGGGCCTTACTGATGTGGCTCTGAACCACCGATGTGCTCTTCTCCAAAAACCTCTTCTGCTAAAAGCCGAACAGAATAACATATGGAATTAATTCTCTTCTCAGTGGTTTTGGTGTTGAGAATCAGAGAAAGCTGCTAATGTTGCCTGCTGTCCGTAAAGTCTTTACTGTATGATTTTCCCATCTATGGTAGCTTGTGATTTATGAGAAAATAACTCAGCTTTTTTAATGCACTTTGTTCTATAAATATCTGCTTTAAAAAAAAAATAATTAAAGAAGCAAACAGACAAACAAAAAAGCAAAAACACAGATGAGTTCTTCCTATTGTGGTATATAAGAGCATAAGGTGCTTTTTGGATGCAAAGCAGTACAAAATTTTAATCAGTGACTGAAAAAGTGCAACATGGTGGTGCTGATGATGCCAAGGAGAAAATCCCAAGATTTCTTCTGCCTGTTATCTTCTGTCATTCTTCTCTCTCAGTTCATCTCTTCTGTTTCTTGCAGTCCTGGCAAGTTGAGTTGCTCATCATAGAATAATAAAGGCTGGAAAAGACCACTGAGATCACCTAGTCCAACCATCAACCCACCACCACCATGCCCACTAGCCCATGTACCTCAGTGTGCCACATCTACCTGTTACTGGAACATCTCCAGGGATGGTGAATCCATCACTCCCCTTTGTTCTCCTCCTAAGGATTTCCACCCCTTCAACTACTTTTCTGATTGCAACTGAGTGTTCAGCCAATGTTTTCATAGAATGATGCAGTGTGAATTCTCTATCTTCATTTAAGGGTGATCCAGCAGATGGACTGTATCTAATGATACTGGATGGCTGAACCTGGTATCACTAAATACTCTTTAATATGGACTCTTCAGTATGGACATAGTGCATCTCATTACAGGTGAAAAGACTCAAAAATTTTTCTTGTCCTTTTAAATCACCTGCATTGTGTTTCATTTATTTTTGTTGTCAGTCATGCAGTACCACCCAGGTAATTCTGTATTTCATTACTGTTGCTACTCATTTGCTCTGTGGACCCTTGAAAACCTCAGCACCAACTCTGCTGAGAATCTGGAACCTTTCAAGCCATTGATATATTTGCAAAAGCAAATGTTACTCATTTGTAGAGCATCTCTGAACTTCTGAGGAGTGTGTGCCTCATGTGGTGTTGTTTCTAACCAATTGTTTTCCTCGCCTGAGCACAGCTGGAACAGGTGGAGGCACTGTCCCTGGAGATGTTCAAGAAACATGTGGATGTGGCACTGAGGGACATGGTCAGTGGGCATGGTGGGGATGGTTTGATGGCTGGACTGGATGATCTTAGAGGTCCATTTTTATTCCCCAAGATGTTTTACTGGGTTTCCATACCATCCTTTTGCACCTTGTTTAAGCTTGCCAACCTGCTCTGCATTTCTGCCCCCTCACCAGCATCACCTGGGTAGCTCTTCAACATGGACATACTCAACCATGCCCTTTGCAGTAATTTGGAAAATGGTATGAATTTGTGCCTCTTTTGTGGGTTTCGAGCTACAAAACAGCTTAAAACTGGGTCTAAAAATTAGTGTCTCTGTCAAGCTATATGTGATGTACCAAAGTAGGTGGAAATAACATGAATTCTCCTTCATACTTATGTTTCCTGCCTGTACAGCCTTCTTGGTTACTCTGCATACTGTCACCATCAGGGGCAGGTAATCAAAGCAACACTTGAAGGTATTTTTGTTCAGGCTTGGCATCTCCTACTACTTGTTGAGAGGGTTATCTTCTGGTCTGATCTGATCGCCAGTTCTTATCTCTGGAAATGATCCAAATCCCACAGGGCACGCCATTCTTTGGTTTGCTGTTTGAAGGAGACATTTTGATTTATGTTTGGATTTTGCATTTAGGGATTTTCTTTTTGCTTTCTTTACAAAGCAACAAAATTCTCACAAAACTGATAAGGAAAACAAAATGGTTTACTTCTTTTTTTTTTTTTCCAGCTAGAGTGAAATAGGATGGAAATGTCAGTCTTTTCATCAATTAAAAAAAGCAATTAGCCAAATGAGAATGTTTCCAACACTATGTTTGGGAAAACTGTAAAAATAGTGAAGACATAAGTATATTAACTATGCTTTCTCAGCTTTATAAAACCATTTATAAAACATGAATGAATAACAGGGGGAATACTTTTATTAACAAACAACAGAACCCACAAGCTTTGAATACCTATTCCAGGAAAAAAACAGTTAACTTATTCAAACAGCAGTGTAGAAACCAGAAATAAACAAACAAAATTAGATACTTTCCTATGAATTTACATTTTAGAGTTAAAACCTCTTGATGGCTTCTAGGGAAGCCTTATGTCAATTGTAGTTCTCAGGAAACAGCATTGCTGACTACAGCATAAAGCAACTTGAATTGTGCTGATTTGGTAGGCAAAGCCTTTGAAGCTTATGGAGGAGTCAGAATCTTAAGAAATGCCAATATTATTTCAAGAGGGGAGTGGGGAAGGGAAAACTCTATTTCCAAAAGGAGCAAGTCTGGAAGGTAATTAAACTCAGCGGCATCCTAAAAGCCAAAGCAAGTCTTAACTTCTGAGCTTAGCTTGGACTGAAGCTCATGGCTGAAAGCTGATATGGGCTTTTCCTAAATGTGGGAATAGTTAAAGCACAGTCCAACAGGGCTGCAGCCTGGATATACTCTATTTTTAATCTCTGAGAAACAGCATGGAGACCATGCAGTGATCTGGCAAAGCCTGGAGAGTTAGGAGCAGAATGGTGGTTTCCACACTGTTATTTCTGAGGACCTTTCCTCTACATTAAAGTTAATCTGGATTGGTCTATCATGTATAAATCAGGTTTAGCCCTGGTAAATTGTCAGTATTGCCTGATGCTAAGCAAGGACTCTCTGCTCTGTTGAAAAGAATGAGACATATCTACTCCTGAGGCTCATGCTTGGAGAAAGAAAAACTATTTTGAGAAGGGAAAGAAGACACAAAAACTCTTCTTTCATTTTCTATTCCTTATGTCCTGTTATGAAGGAAGGTTGTTTAACTACTGTGACCAAAGACATCCTCTGGTACATTAACATAGCTGAAAAATATATTAGTCGTGGTTGCTGAGCCTTAACCTATGATGCTTCAACAGAATTCAGTTTTGTAGATGTCTAATAAAGAACATGATGGACTTTTCTAATGAGATAACCAAGAAATGGGATTTGCTTCATATTTTAAGAAATTAGACTATATCAAATGTGTAATAAAAATATTTTCTATAGGATTTTAGAATATATACATATATAAACTACCTTAATTTTTAATGCCCTGTTGATATTGATGTGATCTCTACAGTATCTAAACATAACTAAATGAGGCTGCCCAGCAACCTCCCTTATACCTCAAACAGTGATTACAAAACTTGAAGCCTTGTCCACGCTGTAAGTTAAACCTGCTTGAAAACAGGATCTGAAATCGTCCATCAGACCTGATCCAGCACCCACTAAATCTAGGCTTAAATCCGTTCCTGATGGTAGGAGCTGGATTAGGTCCTAGACACAGACTCAGATTGATAGCTCTCCAGCTCCATTGGCTGAGCAACACTAAAGGCACCTGAAGGAGTTACTATGACTCTTAAGGCATGTCCTGGTAAAATGAAAAGTATTCGATTTTTGTTTGTTTTTTTTTTTCTTCAGAATATTAAGAAATACTTAATATTCACACAATCTTAAGACAGTTTGGGCACATTTGCATTTCATTTTGAAGAAGGCCATGTCACGTGCCTGACAGAACTTCCATCACACCCACCCCACCACAGGGCTTTTGACAGAGGCAGGGGGAAGAAGACCAAGAAGCACAGTGTGCTTTATATTATAACCGGGCCCTATGTCTACCCAGATCACCATGGACTTGGTTTTGGGCCGTTCCTCCAATACCCAGACAAATCCAGTTTGCATTCCTGTTCAATCTAGCACTGTGTCTAGAGCAAGTTCAGATTCACTTTCCATGCAAGGTTTGAAGCAGTGTAGACAAGGTGTAAGGGCCAGATCCTGATCTAACACAGACAAAATTTGCCATTGTCATTGGCCTGAGCTCTTACCCTTGCATTATACTTTAAGGTAGGTGGCATGTGAGTTCTCCTGCTTTAAAGAGTTAATGTAGGGGATCTGACCACCAGCAGAGGCAAGTTTCTCACTGAGCTTTCGGTTCATCAGCTCCATGTGCCTGGTATTTTTCCTAGCTTGCCGGAGAGACCTCTTGACTTTCTTCACCCGATCTCGCAGCTGTTTGTTGCGTTTCTCCAATGCTGCCACCTTCTGCTGCAGCTTCTTCACTCTGTCCTCCTCCTCAAACAGGGCTTTCTGGACTGAGGAGCACATGAGCTGAGGGGACAGAAGAAATGAAATAGGAACAGATGAGCTTTATACAAAAGCTTATTCAAGTAAGGGTTTACTCCGGTGTTCCCCAAAGGACTTCACAACTCTTCAAAAGTACAACAGCTTTTTTGAAATTCTACTGACTTTTTTTACGCCCCTTCTACTAAAAGCTTTGCTTTCACTTCTGTGTTCAGCTAAGATGCAAAACTGTAGATTTTAATGATACTAATTGTTCACAGTGTCTTTTTGGAGCTGCTTTGAAAGACCTGTTGAGCCCGTTGAATTTAAGTTGAATTTATGGAGGAAGGTTGACCTATTCATGATCTAAAAATGGAGTTCAAAAGCCTAGATAGGCTTTCCCTGGCAGAACATTTGGAACTGACAGAGAACCTAAGCAAACAAGTATATCCTCTGTGTGGTGATGAAGAACTGCATGTTTTTTTCTACCTTTCTTTGTAGTAGTTTCACCTGAAAGAGAGGGAGGGAGTCCACTTTGATGACTAAAAGTTCATTTGCTTTGGAAACCCCTAGCAGCAAAAACCATGGTTGGTAAACAGAGCAACTGCTTCCAGTAGCCATAAGCTCGTGTTTCCTGTACAAAAGAACCATGGGGCTTTGCTGAAAGGGCTGTGCTTACCCTGACTACCCTCTCACCAGGAATCTTTTATAAATGCACACTAGGAAGACTGTAAGTTCACAGATGAAGACCAGAAATTGCACTGAACAGGGGAGAGTTTGATTTTGATCACAGCTCATTCCAAGAGCTGTTTGAGGGTGGTTGGAACTACATGATCCTTGAGGTCCCTTCCAACCCGGGTGATTCTGTGAAAACAGCAGGTACCTCTTGGCTGTCGTGTTTGCCAAACCCTTGCAAAGCTTCAAGCAGAATTTATCTTGAATTTAAATTCCTACACAGGAGACCATTGGGTGGACAAGATGTTTGCAGGAGGAAATTTCACTTCCTAAGGTACTTGCTGCATTTCTCATTGTGTACTGGTGGACAGGCATGTACTGATAGCTGTATCACAGAGTCCAGTAAATTCATGCACTTGAAGTGTGCCATTGTTTGAACCCAATCACATCTACCTGGGTTGGTTGCTGAGGAAATGGCAACGTCTGGTAGCTGACATCAGGGATGGCATTAGCCTCACCCTAGAGGCACTCCAAAACCATTGAGGTTTGTCCCCTGTCAGCAGAGGCTGGGCAGTTGTGCAGAGATACTAGAAACTCCTCACAAACTATGAGAAAGCCAGACAGCTTATTTGCTTACACCATTCCTTTTCCGGATCTTCACTCTCCAGCCTGAAGACAGTGGTTTAATGTTTAAATTACCTGGAGATGTCCAAAGAGAACACTGGAGCAACACAAATATAAAAATTAAGTCCCACACAACTTTGCCTACCAACGGGGCAAGCAAAAGGTAGGGCCTCACTAATAATAATGTCTAATAGGATGCCTACCTGAAATTACAGGACAACTAGCTGAAAAATGAGCTCCTTTGATCCTTCTATGTGTGGAAAAACAAGAAGGAGAGGTCCATACATTCTTGGTTGCAAGAAGTGTTTTTCACAGGCTCTGCAGTAAGGATCGTGTATAAATGTGAGTGCTGTCCTACCTCTGCTGCCGCTGCCAGAGCTGCGGTTCACATGGGTGCACTCAAGTTATTTTTAAACTGTTAGATCTGGTGCTGAGAACTGTGTAAATCTGACAGACTGGAGCTCAGTCCAGCCAGTGTAATTAACCAGGAATAAATAGGTAAGGAGTAAGCCAGCCCTTGGTTCATGTTGCTACTCGAAACTTTTTGTTGATTGCCAGCTGAGATATCCCCACTTTGGGCAGTCCTTCCTATCGAGCATATCTATAAAGAGGAATTTCACACCCCATTTTGTCCAGTCTCACGAGTCCGTATGTGCAAATGTGCAGAGTTTGCACTGATGAACATCAAGATCAAGCTTTAATCCAAAAGCATTGCTGAAACTACTAAGAACTGACTTTCTTTTTCTAGGAACGATTCATGCTCCCATTCCCCACGGCAGCTTGTCATGCCAAGTACACTAGAGAGTTTTTTTCCTCTTTTTTTTTTTTTTTTTTTTGACATCACATTTAAAAGATACTGAAATCTTCATCCAGCAAGCTAAGTCACTTGAGAATCAGCAGCAGAGAGTTAAGCAATAAGTCTGAACTGCTGTACTTAACAAGGTATATATGCCCATAGACCTGGGAAGTGAAGACAGTTCTTCAGACAAATCTGTGAATTATTTTTCAAGATTTCCTTCAGAAGTTACATTATGAGAGGACCTACAGAAGATTTGTTTGTTCTGGACGTCTCTATTTGTATATTCTACAGTTGGGTCAGCAAGCCATCCTCAGTGGTATTTAAACAAATCCAGAGCAGAACAAGAAGATGTAGCAAAAAAGATAGCACAAAAAGATCCACACACATCCTTAGGATTTAGCCCAGACAGCATACAGTTGTGGAACCACAAATTACATATATTCAAGCATATTCAATATATTCTGAAACATCCTGTCACAAATACACCCGGTCATAAGTTTCACCACATCTAGATGATTTACACAGTCAGTCTATCTGCCAAAAAAATCATCACTGCATTACATCAAACTGATCTTTGGAGTGTCACATTACAGGCATGTGAGCCCTTTACTAGATAGTCTGAATCGACACATGTAAGAATTTCTGTCTGATTGACAGACACAAACATCTGCCTTCTGTAAGCGTCATTAGAATGAGACAGTGGATGGGAAAACTTCCACGGACAAAGGCATGATGGTAGTGTTCATCCAACACAATTTGTCCATACATGGCTGGAATCAGTGTTGCTGAGCTCAAGTCACTCAAACAGCAGTTGTACCCAAGTTTTGACCATCATCTACTGAAGGAAGAGGAGTTGAGATCTAGCCGGCTCCTAATGCATAGTCCCAATGGGTTGCACTGCTAAAGAGCACTGGAGAGCCATTTAGGACGAGAGATAAAAGACTTTAAGTTGCACAGAGAGAGATTCATATTGAATATGAGGAAGAACTTATTCTCAGAAAGAGTGGTGAGACATTGGAACAGGCTGCCTAGGGAAGTGGTGGAGTCACCATCCCTCAAAGTGTTCAGGAAAAGTGTAAATGTGTCACTGAAGTACACGGGTTAGTGGGCATGGTGAGTTGGGTTGACATTTGGCCTAGATGATCGTAGTGGTGTTCTTCAACGTTAATGTCTCCATGATTATGGAGAAATCTTTCATTTGAGATCTTCTAAAAATATCTTTCACATCAAACAGAGTTTTTGGACGTGGATATCTGTTGTGTTTCATCAGCCAAGATGACCGTGGGAACATCTTTAAATGCATGTCTGTAAGACCTGATCTCCCCTGCATGAACAGGACATTTCTTTAAAAGACCCAGGGATAAGTCACTTTGGTTTCTTATCCCCATAATTTTTTCAGGACCCATTCTGCTGACTGTGCTTGCACTAGCATGGGATGCTCCCTCAGCACCCCAGGTCGATCATCACCCTAACACAACCTGTTGGGAGCATCCAATGGAGACACAGCCCAAAGGCTGGGATTGGGAAGCAGTCTTTCTGCTGTGTTGCCAAGCCTCCTGCACTCTGCACCCCAGCAGTTCATCACAACCCCACCCTGCTCTCCTTTCTTTCTCCCCTTCTGCAAATCTGTCCTGCAGCGAAGGTAAAAGTCTGAATTTGCTGCACATTGCCTCACTGCTCTGTGCTTTACCACTGTTAATGTTATATAAAACATCTTAAACTGAAACTTTATGCAACATGAAGCATGTTGCTCCAGCTCTATTAATCTCAGCAGAGCCATAATTCATGCATTCTCTCAAGAGGGGCTTTGAAGCCAAACATAGCTCTTTATTTTTTTTTAACTCCACCAGGATTTATTTCCCCAAGCCCTTCTGTGTGCTCAGCAAGACAAGCTCTTGGTGAAACTAGCAGGGACATGACACAGCTCAAGCAGGCAAACCTTGTCTCTCCTGGCAGCAGCAGTTCCATTTGAACCATACCTTGCCATCGCCATATTTCAGACTGTGAGCATCACTTTCTCCTTTTGTTTGGCCTCTTTGGGCAGGTTCAGTGGGAGCAAGCAAGCTGGATGGACAGAGAGATGATGTGGTGAGGGGTAGGAGGAGGGATCTGGCAACCCTCTGCCAGATGGGGTTTGGGATGGAGTCACTTAACCTCCAGTTACTGGGGCTTTTCAGCCAAGAATAACGCTCCTGCTGAAGTGTGGAAAAGCCCTTGTCAGCACTGTTAAACCATCGTGTTGGGGAAGCTTGGTTAAACTACCAGTGCTTGCTGCAAGGCTGAACCTTTCAGAGGTTCTGAAACAGGGTCTGAAGGCAAATCCAGCAGCATTGCCATTAATGGGAATAAACTGCTATTTCCTTCCTTTGCTTTGTACAGAACACCAGGGTAAGTACGACCTGGGTAGAAAAAGAAATGGTGGTGCCTGTTCTTCTAAGGATAACTGGATCAGCATTTCTGCACAATGGACATGATTTAGTGGGCATGGTGGTAATGAATTGATGGTTGGACTAGATTATATTAGTGGTCTTTTCCAACCTTAATGATGCTATGATTCTATTTACTGTGGGAAGTATAAGGCCTGTGGCATAAGCTATCAGTTAATTCAAACTATCAGAAGCAGAGATTCAGTGGGATAAGAGGCACTGTCTGCAGAGCTTCTGCCAGCCTACAGCCACCACGACATGTTTTGGCACTGCAAACAATGTCTTTCTTTCTTTCTTTCTTTCTTTCTTTCTTTCTTTCTTTCTTTCT